CACCCACTGTGCCACCAGGGAAGCCCCTCAAAGCTTCTTTTGTTTTGAGCTGTCTCTATCCCTTTCAGTCCAAGATGATATAATGCCTTTAAAAATGTTGTGAGCTTCCTCTGTATCAACTTATAATTCACTTAATTAGACAAAAAACCATATTTACAAATTTCTTTGAGACTGGCCCTCTGTACCTTAGAGTTAGAGAGCTGTTAGAAAATGCCCTTATGATTCTTAAAGGCCCTCTTGCCTGAAAGAGACACACTGCTAAAATTATTAGAAGCCTTATTGGTGTTTTTTTGTTTGTTTGTTTTTGGCTGCATTGCTTCTTTGTTGTTGTGCATGGGCTTTCTCTAGTTGTGGCGAGTCCGGGCTACTCTTCGTTGTGGTTCACGGGTTTCTCATTGCAGTGGCTTCCCTTGTTGCGTAGCATGGGCTCTAGGCATGCGGCCTTCAGTAATTGCAGCACACGGGCTCAGTAGTTGCGACGCATGAGCTGTAGGGCGTGCGGGCTCAGTAGTTGTAGTACACAGGCTTAGTTGCTCTGCGGCATGTGGGATCTTCCCAGACCAGGGATTGAACCTGTGTCCCCCTGAATTGGCAAGCAGATTCTTAACCACTGCGCCACCAAGGAAGTCCCTAGAAGTCGTGTTGTCTATCTGAGATCTGAGAATTGCCCTTTAATCTTTTTGAAGTTTCCATGAAAGATCTCATCTTTGACTTACCCCTGAGGCCCTTTCTGTTGGCGGGGCCATGGATTTGATCTTTGCTCTGAGGCCATTTATTACTTTGAGAGCCATTTGCTGCCTGGAAAGACTGTCCTGGTCCCTCTATATTTCCTCTAAATTCTACTCAGAATTGAAGAGTTCCTTCTTTAGTTCATCTCTTTCTTCTCATATTTTACCATAGGCAGCCAGAAGAAGCCAATTGGCATTTTCAGTATTCTGTCCAAAAATCTCCTTAGCCCATCCATGACTTCATTATGTAATCTTTCTGTTTTCCACCTTACCATGGATAATAGTGTTTCTAGACATTCCACCACTACATAATAGGGGTTGCCTTTTCTTCAGTCTCCAGTAACAATTTCCTCACTGCCCTTCAAATTATTACTAGCAACCTTCTTGAGTTCCTTCTACCTTTCACCCATGGCTTTGTCTCAGAGCCAGTAACACCTGCTTTAGGTTTTTGTAATAGAAGCCTCTTTCTCTTTCAGGTCTTTGATGAAAGATTCATGGAGCCAACTCATGCTGATTTTCTAACATTTTCCTACCACTTCCTCTATCACTACACCTAGGTTTCCATTTGGTCTGCATCCCAAGATACATCAGGGGACAATTTGACTAAATATTTTGTCATTTCATAACAAACGTCCTTGACTTTCAGCCTGCACATATTGGGTCCTCATATCTCACTGTCTTCCCTCCTCCACTTGGTCAATTCCACATTTTATTTTATTTTATTTTATTTTTTTCGGTATGCGGGCCTCCCACTGCTGTGGCCTCTCCCGTTGCGGAGCACAGGCTCCGGACGCGCAGGCTCAGCGGCCATGGCTCACGGGCCCAGTTGCTCCGCGGCATGTGGGATCCTCCCGGACCAGGGCACGAACCCGTGTTCCCTGCATCGGCAGGCGGACTCTCAACCACTGTGCCACTAGGGAAGCCCCCAATTCCACATTTTAGATTCTTTTGTTTGAGGACTCCGCTTTATGAATTTATTAAGCTTTGAGTTGCAGATCACCTGACTAACAGTGGCTTTAACTGTCTTACATAGCAAGACATCTGAGACAGGCAGTTCAGGGTTAGTTCAAGGTTGGTTCAGGGGCCCAGAGATGTCATATGACACCAATTTTTTGCTCTGTAATCTACATCATGTATGCTTTTTCCCTCATGCATGTTGCTTCATGATCACAAGACGGCTGCTCTACCTCCAGGTCGCACTGTCCATGTTCCAGGCTAAGAGACAGAGGAAGTATAGGGTGCAGAAAGCTTTTCCTCAAGAGACTTTGCCTTTTTATTATGCAAGAAATACTCTCTCCAAAGATTTCTACTTACATCTCTTTGGCCTTAACTATGTAATATGGCTAGTCCCAGCTGTGACCAAGTATTTTTAGCTGGGCATGTTGACACTGTGTAAGAAAAGAAAAAAGGTTTTAATAATAAGGAAAGGGGGGGAAGGATAGCAGACAAGCAATAGACAATATTTTTCTGAATTGTTTTCTTACTTTTCTTACTTCCCTGGGAAGCTCTGATGCTTGGGAACTGCTTACAGAGTAGCTCAGAAAAGAGCTCCCCAAAGACAGAAAGAGAGTGAGAAGGTTCTGGGACACACTGCTTATTCTCACTGTTCCAACTGCACGTCTGGGGCTGATGAGGCAAGGCTGGGCAGGCCCTAGCAATGAAAAGAGAGAGGCCCACTTTCCTAATATCCTATAGGGAAAGGAGCAAGTGAATATAGGTCAGGGACTCATCATAATGGTAATTAACATTTCCACAGTGGTTCCCAAAGCTTCTTTCATGCTCACTGTCACTTCAGCCTCATGGTAACCCTGAATAGAGCTATCATTAGGCCCTTTTTACAGATAAGGAAACCAGCAGAGGAAGCAGCATCTGCCATTCATGGAGCATTCCCTCTGGCCAGGCTCTCTGCTAGGCCTGTTCTAGCATCATCTCATTGAATCCTCATAGCACTTGGATGAGGGATGTGTTATTAGTTTCTGCATTTCACAGAGGAGGAAATAGGGGCTGGGAGAGGTTAAATGAGTAGTGTTGGGACTTGACCCAGGTTGTAAGAAAGGGCCTCACCCCTATGGGACACGGGGGTGGCAGCCTGGGCCTTCCTCCCCTTCCTCCAAAGCCTTGGAGATGAAGGGGACCTGGCTGGGCAGAGTCCAGACGCTATTGGTGTCTCAATCCTGAATCCACAGGGAAGTGGGTCCACTTGCTGGTGACTGCACGACTGTAGTCTGTTTGCTCACAGTGGATCCCGGCTTCTGCTGGGGCTCAGTTCCAGGTTCTGGGGCTGTTCTGGCTGGTGGATACTGGCATGGGCTGGCTGCCTCTGGAGCTTTCCCCGGCTGGCTAGGCACCCGATGGGACTAATTTTGTTCTGTATATTTGACAGACACAAACACGTGACTTTCTTAGCTGGTCTCAATACTCTTCCCTCATCCTGCCCCTTCCTGCAAATCTTGCTGCGGAGGCAGAGATGAGGAGGGTCCAGAAAATGGTGCTGTTCAAAGGCCCGCTGGCCGAATTCTCTCTCACTTCCTCCTGGAATTGTGGCAGGGAGGAGAGCCTCAGGGATCCATATGTCACCTCCCATAGTGTCCTACTGTTACTTTGCTCTTTGTTCTTTTGGGTCTATCCCTGCAATCTGTTGGCCGTCCAAGAAAAGAGAGACTGAAGGCAAAGGTGGATTCTGAGGCAGGGGAATGACTGAAATAGGGCTCCCCATGCTCCCATCTTTAGGTCACTTGGTCTCCCCTCTAACTCAGTGCTCCCATCCGGGAAATGGGCAGTCAGGCATTGACTTGGTCCTCAAAAGACCAAGGAGAGCCTGTAGGTCTAAGCCCCACAGGCTCTCCTTGATCCCAATTCAGATCCTCTCCCCACCCCCATCCCCTAATTCTGTAGCAAAGGCCTCCTTGGCTGCAGCCTCAGTAATCAAATACCCCCTCCCACACTCTCCCTACCTTGGGCTCAGATGATGAGAAAGGAGATGAATCAGTGTGACGAGGTTCATTGACCCCCATGGGGCTATGAGATTAGGTTGCTGTTACCCTGTCCCTCGAGCCCAGGTCCTTTTGGCACAAGCACATGAACGTCCAGACGCTCTAAGACACTTCATCTTATCCCTGAGGTGCAGAACCAGACACTGACTTTCATGGCGCAAGGTGGTTTCCCAGAGGCTTTTGTAAGGTGATGGTGGTGATAGTGGGGGACAGAGGCAGGGAGAGAGGATGGGAGAGAGAGGGACAGTCCTGCCGGGTCAGAGAGCATCTGCTCCCACCCTCCCTCCCTCATGCTGCTCCTGTTGGGGAGAGACCCTTACCTTCCACTTGGGGCACACTTCTCTGTAGTCAGCTCTACATCTGCAGTGGAGCAGCACGGGTGAGAGGCCAAGGGTGTTGAGCTCCACTCCCAGGTAGAGAATCAAGTGGACAGTGTGGACAGCAGAGCGTGGGAAAGGAGGAGGATGCTCCCTGTCTGAGCCTCGAAGGGGCGGCTAGTGTCATGTGCATTCAGGGTAGATGCTTGCAAAGAACTCCCAGCAGGGCAGGAAGATTCCAATCCCTGTAAGAACAACTTGGGAAAGCAAGATAAGAAAGGCTGCAGCTCTGCCTCTAGCCTGTGGGGATGCAGAAGGTTGGACAAAATGACCTGCGGGTGAGGCGGGGGAGGAGGCCTGGTTCTCTCCCTCCTGCCCCCATCGAGGGGACTTAGCGTGTGGTTGTTGAGTTAGACTCCGAGACCTCTGCCCTGACACCGTCCACAGGACCAGCAAGTGATACAAAGCAATTTCACATCGGAGTCTCAGGGTAGGAATCTTCCAAATCCATTTTGGAGGCAAAAAATTAAGGCCCAAACAAGGTAAAGGACGTGCTCGGGGTGGAGACAAGAGGGTGGTGGATCTTGGAGTGAGGGTCCAGTAAGTGTTCTTACCACGACGGTCCTCCAGCCCCAAAGCGCCTGCACCCAGACCTCTCCGTCCACCCACCCGCCCCTCAGCTGTTGCCTCCCTGGGTGAGCTCCTGCCTTCCCTGCACCCCACCTCAGTCGGAGCCTCTCCCAGTGGGCAAACAAAGGTGAGGCATCCCAGAGGGGCGTGGCCAGGCTTCGAAACATGAAAGGCTGGGGGATAAGGACTCAGGCTGGGAACAGGCTGCCCAGCCCTTCCCTGACCATCCATATAAAGTACCCCAGGCCCCACCACCATTTTTCCCCCTTAGCCCTGCTTTATTGTTCTTCCTAGCATTTATGTCGCTGGTCTATCATACATTTATTTACTTGTTACTGTCTGTTGTGTGCATTAGATGGTCCTCTCTACAGAGCTTGGCTTTTGTCTGTTTTGTTTATGGCTGTACCTCCAATGCTTAGGACAGGTGCCTCTAAATATTCACATGAAAAATGAATGGCTCTCACCCTGCCACAAATTAGTTGTGTGACTTGGGCAAGTTACCTACCTCTCAGTTAACATTTATGCCCTTACCATGTGCCGGCACTATTTATCTATGAGCTTTGTACATAGAAAGCCCTTTAAGCCTCATGGCAATCCTATGAACTGATGACCATTATTCTCCTTGGTCATTGGCAGGTGAGGAAAATGAGGCCCAGAGAGGTGAGGTGACCTGCTTAAGGGAGGTGGCTGTTGGCAGAGATGGGATGCCACAGGTGGGAACAAGGGCTTGACCTAGAACTGAATGAATTGCTGGTCCACTCTGGCCCCTGCTTCTGTCCCCTACTCCCCATAATTCCTTGCCTATAAAACAGGGTTAATCACAGCCCTCCCTTCTCTGCCCTCCCCCCCCACTGTTCGCTCCCATCACCCACAGGGGCTGAGTCTTCGGGGAGGTGATGGCACAGTTGAGGTTCGGGGGCAGGGGGCCTGGGAAGAGACCAAGGTGTCATGAGCTCTCTGGCTGCCCCACAAGTATTAGGGCTTCTTCAGAGGCCTGGGGGTTGACTCCTCTTCCCCTTCCCACACTCTTCTGGGTCTTGTGTTCCCTTTCTGTGAAATGGGGAGGGGTCTCTCAGGCCCAGGGATGAGGGTGGGAGAAGTGATACGAAGAGATTTCCGTTTCTGGCAACATGGTGGTCTGTGCCAACTCCGGCTAAAAAGAAAACAGAAAGTGCTGGATAGAATAAAAACATCTTTTTCAAAGCGTTGAAGAGCTCACAAGGCGTTAAGGAATGGGATCACAATCTTAGCGAAAGCAGACTCCAGGAAGTGAGTGGGGCACTGGGGCCCCTCATGCCCTGAGGGCATCGGCCAAACTGAGCCAAAGCGACCTTTGGCTTTGACAGAGTGTGGAGTGAGGAGGGGCTCGCTTGAGGAGGGGAGGCAAGGGGGACACCCCACATAACGCTGGGACCCCAAAGGGCTACACGCTTAAGCCAGAAACCAGAGGAAATCTACCCCCACCCCACGGGAGTGCAAGGAACTTGGCCTTGGTGCTGAATGGAGCCAGGGAGGACAGGAAACAGGCCTTAGGAGCTCAAGCTCCAGGCCACCCTGGTGTGAGTCTGAACACAGCCTAGACTTCTGGAAGCGCCCCTAGGAGCAGCACACCTTCCTCCCCGGCCTCAAAGGCATCCTACGGGTGACCTTCCCAGGGAAGCAAGCAGTTCTCAGCCCAAAGCATCCAAGGACCATCGATCTGGAGATCAGGCAGTGAGGGTGTCTCACAGGCTCAGTGCTCTCACCGTAAATGAGGGGGCTTAACCAGGGGCATGCCAAGATCCCCTCTGGCAGAGGGATTCTCCTGGGGTGAGGCGAAAGTGTGTCCCCACTTTGTCTTCTTCTGGGGTGCCTTTTCAGGGTGAAGACATAGGGGATGGCTGTGATGAATGACCTGTCTTCTCTAACCACGCTGGAAGGAGATGGGTAGGAGACTGTGCCCGGATCCCAGCTCTGGGGGAGGGCAGAGGGAAAATGACGAGGTGGTGGTGTCTGCAGCCCAGACGAGGCCTTTGATGGGTGCATGGCAAGGTGGGCGGGTGGGGTCTGTAATAGGGGTTGCCAGGGAAGGAGGCAGGGGAGCCCCTGGGGGCATCCTCAGCTTGACCTACTTGGGCCCCCCGTAATTGCTCCCTTCCTTCCTTGGGAGGCTACAGGTAGGGATGCCCTGTCTCTAGGCTCCTCCAGCTGAAACGCCAACACCTGTGGTGAGTGCCGGCTGCTTAGGTCCTGCCCTGGGTGTCCGGCAGCTCCAGGTCTGTCTGCTGGCCCAGGGTCTGGGCTTTTGGGGGCAGAGGGATGACCACAGCAGGGACTGATGAGGTGAAGGAAGTCAGATATGATGGGTTCAGGGGTTCCCTTGTACAGTGAGGGGCTGCTGGGGAACCTGGGTTTAGGGGGTGTGCAGAGCTGAGGTCTGGCGGAGGGGTCGGGGCAATGGGCTTAAAATGCTGCTGTTGCCCTCAGTTAGCTCCCTCTTCGCCCACACCTTTCATTCCTGCCAATGGGTTGAGATGGGCCAGGGCTGTGGGGAAGAGAGGATTCCCTCCAGTCTCCAGGCACCGAGCTTCTGACAAAGCAACAGTGGTGGCGCCAGGCAGGCTGGCAGGAACCCAGAAGGGCAGCTCGGCCCCTCTGAGGTTCCCTATTCCCTGCGATCACGGCCCTTTCCTCTCCTGGGAACCTGGAACCCTACTCCAATCCTGGGCTGTCACAAAGCGTTAGACTCCAGGAAGCACTTAACCCCATTCTTCTTCCCTCCCAGCCCTGACCATCTACAGGGCCTGGCAGAGAGCAAATCATTAGGGAGAGAGCCTTGGCCCAGGCTGCCTCGTGCTGCAAGACTCCTGTCCCCTGGGGGCACCAGGAGTGAGTCACTGGGCTCACATGGAAACAACACATGCCTTCCTGGCTGCCTTAGGATTTTTCCAGGCTGGAGGCATCTCCCAGAAGGGCGGTGGGAGGGGCCCGTGGAATGGGGGTGAGTGAGCAATTCTGGGAAGCGCTTCCCCTCTAACAGAATGGGGTACCCCTCTGCAGAGCCTTTTGTCTCAAGAGCCCCAGAGGTCAGGGGGATGGCCTCAGGTAGAGCAGATTACAGATTGGTACATACCTGAGCTCGCTGTCTCCAGAGACCAACTGGTTCAGGTCCCTGACGAGGCCTGTGAGGGGGGATTAACCCTATTTTACAGATAAGGCACCTGAGACCCAGACAGGGTAAATGGCTCATCTTCCGCTGCACAGCTAGTCAGAGGCATAGAGCGTTGCGGCAGATATTCCTTTGGTTGCAGCTTCCCTGAGTTCAGCGCAGGAGGGATGGTGATGGGGTCGTGGTGAGGCGGTGGAGGTTCTTCTGAGACCTGACTCTCCCTGAGAAGGTCCAGCTTCGCCAAGGGCCTGAGGCTGGGAGCATGGGGCAAGGGTGCTCCCTTGTGCAGGAGCTCTGGGGTCCTGAGGGCGATGAGGCTTCTAGGGCCAGGGGGCTGTGTCTCAGAGGGTGCTACAGAGCTGGACTGGGCGTCAGATGAGAAAAGCTGGAGAGAATCAGGGAGTCCTCAGGGACCCCCAGTGTGCGGGGTGCAGGTAAAGGGTGGGCACCTCTCACTGAGGAGTTTGCAGTGAGGTTGGGCAAATGAGGCCTCTGTCCAGAAATAGGGGGGCAGTCGGGAAATAAATGAGGAGGGGCTGGTGTAGTCAGGGAGGGCTGCTCAGAGGAGCGGGAGCTTGTGGGGTGGGAAGGCTGTAGGGGATTAAGTCAGGTCTGGGTGCATTCTCTGGGACGCATGGAGGGCAGAGTTGAGCAGGGGGTCTGACTCGGCCTCTGCCGTGAGTCACACCCTTGTCCTTCTGTGACAGTAACGATGGCGCCTCTGGAGCAGGCCGTGGCTGCTATTGTGTGCACCTTCGAGGAATATTCAGGGCCCTGTTGGAGACAAGTAAAGCTCTGCCAGGCAGAGCTCAAGGAACTGCTAGAGAAGGGGCTGCCCACCTGGACCCCGGTGAGCACCTGGGGTGAGTCCCCATGGGAAACACTGCTCGGATTCTGCAAAGAGACACCTGGAGACGAGCTCTGAGCATTGGACAGCAAGGGGGTGGAAGCTAGACTGTGGGGAGGGGATGCTGGGAGGGGG